AGTCTCAGCATCATCTGCTAGGACCGCGAGGGGTTCCGTTTCTCAGTTCTTTACTTCTCAGCTCCGGTAGCTGCCCTAGAATCTGTTAACTCCGCACGGGATCAGCGTCAGCTCCTTCGGGACCTGGCGCCTTCTGATGGCATCTCTCCAGCTCGGAGAGCAAGGTCTTACAGCGAGTGGCCTCAGAACACCCCCTTTTCTCTCTCTCACTGCCTCTTTTAGACCCCGTAGAACCACAGCTCCTAAACGCACAGTTTGGCTCTTAAATCTTTGCTATGGACTTCCAACTTCTTTCTTTCTTGCCCGGCAAACTTCCGCTTTCATGCCCTCACCCGGAACAAACTTTCTCTGCGGGCTTCTTCCGCTCTCCCGCTGCCTGTCTGGTTTGCTCACTAGAACGGAAGCTTCTGGATCCAGGATGAAACTGAGTGTTGATGTGACCTTTCCAGCACCTATATTCACTGCTGGCACATTGTAGGCGAAGAAGGTACGCACGGGAGACAGTCACTCCCCTGGGACCCGACACACACTCTTGCTATAATGCAATAGGCAGACTAGTTCCTCCACCTGAATGACTATGACACACATATCCCTCTCCAAGCAATGCTTGGAGCAACCTCAGAACCCTCCCACTCCCAACCTGCACGGTTGGTTATACGTACTCCATCTTTGAAAAATAACGTCTCCCCACTCCTGGCAACAATCAAATTTAGATAGTTTCTATTATTCAAGTGCATGCCCAGTGTACCTGGGTATGAAGAGCAGAAGAACTGACCCAGCCTGAATTGGTTTGGGGTACATGTCCTTTAGCACCTTTTAGGGAGATTCTCCTACTTAGCATCTTATGCCTAGGCACAACAGAGAGTGCATATGACTAAAATCAAATGTATTCTGGGAAGGGACATAGAAACAGAAAAGCTGTTTTTTTATGGTCTCAGTGCCTTTTCTAATTTTTACTAAGACGACTTTGGTCAACAAAACTCTTCACCTTCCGGCCATTCCTTCCTGTGAACTTGTAGGTGGACTCTTAACATGCTTTCCCTGTCCAGATCCTGAGTTAGCTGCGTTTGTTCACTCAGCACAGCTCAGGTTATTCGCTGCTTTCTTTCCACCCCCACCCCACCCCCACAGAATTGAGTGATGCCCCAGGCCCACACATGAAGACATTTCAATATGACATGCTCTGAGACCATGGCAATTCCGGTGGAGAGCCCCCTGAACAGCTCAAGCTGATGTCACATGTGCAATGTCTTACTAGCTCACTTAGTCGTGGCTCCTGGTCTGGGAAGATAACCTTATCTCCGGAGTCAGATGGTGAAGTCTCCCTGGGCTGCTCTGGGCTCCCCTGTTTTCCTTCTTAGCTTTATTTTTATTTTATGTGTATGAGTGTTTTGCCTGCATCCATATGCACACCACTTTTGCTTTTGGTGCCTCGTGCCAGCGGAAGTCAGAAGAGGGCATGGGATCCCTTAGAACTGGAATTACAGATGCGTGTGAACCACGCTGTGGGTTCTGGGAGTCAAACCCAGGGCCTCTGCGAGAACAGCAGCAAATGCCCTTAACTGATGAGTCATCTCTCCAGCTCCCTCCCCTGCTTTTTATAATTAAAAAAATTGTTTGACATGGAACTGAAGAGATGACTCAGTGGTTAAGAGCATTTCTTGCAGAGGCACTGGATTCAGTGCCCAGCACCCACATGGTGGCTAACAACCATCTATAACTCCATCCTAGGGGATCTGACTCCCTCTTCTGACCTCTGAAAACACCAGGCACATACATGGTGTGCATACATACATGAAGGCAAAATACTCATACACATAAAGATAAATAAATCTAAATATTTTTGACAGTTTTATACATGCGTACAATATATTTTGGTCATTCTCTGTAGAAGAAAATGCAGGCATGATCTGGTGGCCAGCCTACTTGGCATCCTGTACTTCTAAATAAGAGGCATGGCACCCCATGCCCCAGAAGTCAGAACACTGAACTCTGAAGTAACATGAGTAGCTGGTAGCTGGTTTGTTTGCACTCTCCCTGTCTTCTTTAATGTAATTCTTCCTCACAGAGACCCTGGTGGTATGAACGCTCACTGTCCAATCCAAGGTAATGGACTAAATGATCACAGTCGGTAGGTTTCCACTCTGTAAGTGGCTACTCACACGCAATAAAGCAGACGCTGTTCCCTGAAACTGTCTCTGGAGTAGTTCATCTCCGTGCCCTTTACCAGCCCACGGGACACCCCGACACCACCTTCTTACCCCTTCTCATTCCCACTGAAGCCCCTCTTCTAAACCAGTCCCTCCCCAACTTTCTTTTATGTCTTGTTGGTTCCCGCTGAGTTTAACTTGGGTTACTCACAGGAGAACAGGTGCTAGGTCATATTTACTGGAATAAGGGGAATTTACAGAGGCTACAGGACGGAAGAAAGGGACTTCCTCCTCCCCAGAAATCGCCTACTGGCCCCAGCTGCTCAGGGAGGGGTGAGACCGCCCCCCCC